TAGAATGGTATACGAAAACAAACCTTTTGCGACACCATAAGCACGAGCTTCGGGCATAAATCTTGCACGATACTTTGGGGGGGGAGGAGGAAAGTAGACCATCCACTTGCAGCCACAAAATTTCAGCACACTTAATTTTCTTTCACCTGAGCCGCAAGCGATTTGATTTTGCTGGAATTCAGCAATTGAAGCAGAATCTTAAACGTTTTATTTAACATTTTGTACATTACTTTTAATGGTGTATATTTATTTTGCAGAACAGAAACACTCACCCTTACTTCTCTTCTCTGGTCGGAAGAAGAAAAAGTTGCCTACTTCTAGGCGGCGCTCATAATCGCTTAACTTTATTCCATCTCCCTGGGCGGGGGCTTTCCAATAAACGCTTCCGAACTTTGGCCAACGATGTGCGAATGATAGAGTGCGGGGTGGCACAAGAAGTGGGCGGAATCCAGGTACAGAGGATTGCTTCTTTTGCCATCTTTGGGACCCTTTTTGGGGCTTTGTGTGCAGCGTTCGTTCTGCCATAAAAGTCTCGTAATCATTACGAGCCAGCCAGCTGTTTTCCCTGCCACGCGCAGCATCCGAAACAAAACAAAATCGGCTACAAAAAAAAAAAAAGGAGCTAAGGAAAAGGAAAAGGCGCAAAAAAGAAAATGAGGAAAAAACATTGCTGCCTTTGATGGCTGAGGTTCGTTTCGTTTCGAGCGATTTTGGAGCTTAACCTTGACTCGCTTTTGGGCTGTCACTGAAAGAAATAAATGCTATTATCCGAAAAAATTTTTTTGCAAAACTTTAAAAATGTTTACTATATTTAAAATAATTTTGTATAGTATAGTATAGTATCTATTTGCTGTAAAAATAGTATACAAATTCATTTGATAGTTGTTACTTATTTCTGTCTCTCAGAGAAAGAGTTTCGGAAATCAATTTAAAACAAATAAGTTCAAAACCAAAAATGTGAAAAAATGTTTATTTATATTATATTGATTTTTTCACTGTGTATTGTGACAGGTGAAACAGGAACAACCGACGATAATTCCTATATTTGCCTCGGAGCGTTTAACGTGTGGCTTGGAGAGATATTTTCGCACAGTGTAGAAGAGCGCGCATACGCAATGTGGGCGTGGAGCGCCATCTTGACGACGCCTGTTGTCACTGGCTTGGGTGTCTAATCTTATCTGTTACTTTCGGCTGCTGCTCCTGTGTGTCTGTATGTATCTGCGTGACTGTCTGTATGCCAGTGTGTTCTGGGTCGCCTCCTCAAAGTCATTTAAAATTGTTGTGCACATAAAGTACGAGGAGAGGGCGGGAGGAGGCAGGAGCATTCCTTCCTTTTGCTCTCCTCCACAAACAGGCGAGAATTCCTCCTAATTTGGTCCACGCGACTTTTATGACTTTAGTGCGGCCCCTCTTCACCATTCAATTTCACTTTCTGCCGGGCTTTTATCCAGGAAAAGGGAAGAGAAATTGGCTTTGGATTTTTGATTCGACATTGATTCATATTTGTATACAATTTTTAATGCTCGTTCTTGACTTTGACGGGGAAGTGCTTGCAGTAAAGGATATTTTTGGCGCCTAAAAGAAATGGGTTTCCGTATAGTGCTCATTTTTCATTGAAAATACAAGATAAAGTTAAACGGATTTGAAGGAAAACTATGTATACCATTAGCTCATTGCCAACAGAGACTAAATTGGGATTGAGAACAGGGACAAGTGACTGTGCCAATCAATAAACTGGCCAGAGGGATTTTCACAGTGCCATCCAATACCGCCCCATCAAAGGACTTCATGCATTCACACCACTTCACACCACATTAGACAGGAAAATCAGCAGGCTCTGTTTTTCTGCCAGTGCAGCCTTTGAAATGCTTAAAAATAACAATGTGAAGACAACTCGATTCGTTGGGCAATTGATTAATTCGGCGTTAGTAATGCTCTAGCCGCTGCTTTTAGCCATCGAACGCAGGCGGGCAGATCGGCGCTATTTTTACCCCAGATGTGGCAGTTGGAAAATGGGAAATGGGGCGCTCCTAGATTTCCATCTAGCGTCGACATCCTCGTCTACCTGTCAGGCAGGACGACAAGTATGATGTCTCAATGGAAAACTGGGCGTTAATGTGAATAAGGCATGGAAACGTATTTCCCTTACAACTCAACACTCGAGGCACTTGTCAATTTCCGACCTCGTCGCTCGTCCCTCGTTTTCCCCCCGCCGCATTTTCCATTTCCTCTTCGATTGCCTGTCTGTCTGCGTGCGGACAAGTCTTGCACGTGCAGAGCTTCTGGCAGAAAAATCAATTAACTTAAATTAATTCCACGAATCCAAAAGTTTCCCCCTTTAGTCGAGCACCGAGTTCCCGAGTTCCCGGCACATCTGTACATTTGTATGTATCCCCGCACCCACCTCACCGCACCTCACCTCACCGCCCTTCGCCAGCCCTCACATGGGCTTAGCATTGTAAATTTGTTTGCCAGACTTTGGCTAAGCTCATTGGCTGAGAGCTTTGGCTGCTGTAATACCAAATGTTCCGACAATTTAATTTGCATTTTATGCGCCAATCGATTGGATAGACAGGGGAGTCGGAATTGAGGCTTGGCTTTCGCATATTATGCTGGGGCTTAGACCAGATAGATTCAATTGCCACATGTGGCCTAAGAAAGTGGTAATCGTCGGGGGCGTTCGGCCCGCCCATTGTGACATCAAACGTATAGCCAAGTAATGGGCTTTCAAGAGCTGTGGCACAGTAATTTATGAACGACAATTTCATTCACCTGCTACGGATTGTCAGGATATTGTATTCGTATTTTTCACTAGGCCAGCAGGCCCTATAAATCAGCATTATTTATTAATTTAAAGTTTAGAAAATCATCCATTTACTGCGAATATTGCCTCCAAATTACCCATTTTAATCAATAACATTACTATCATAACTAGGCAATTAGTCATAAATTACAAGTCTTAAACATAACTACGGTAAATCATCCATCCACAAAATCATGTGAAACTTTAATCATTTAAAAGAAGAGAAAATGAGAGAAAATGTTGGCCTAATGTGATTCGGGCGAATCAACCCATCAAAGGATAGCTAAACAGTAATTACCAAAAAACCCGAGGCTTGACAACTGCAATATGCACAAATGTACTGGCCAAATGACCATTCAAAACCACGCTGGGTATGTAAATTATCGTTTCAACAGGCGTGCAATTACCAACATTTTAAATGAATTGATGAATGAAGCAAACGACACCGTACAGAAACGCAATGGGGATAAATCAACAATTGCATTTCGACGATTTTGTGTTGGTAAAAACAAATGTTTACGCGTGCAGGCGAAGCCACAAAGAATCATTTGGAATATTTTCATAATTAATTAAATGCCAGCTCCACCTGAACCTGCTCCATCGGAAAATGGAAACGAACAATGGTTTCCACGGGAGGGGCAAAATTTAATTACGAAAAAGTTTTGCTGATTTTACCTAGAATAATGTATGCAAGCATTCTGGCAATTTCTATTACTTTCCATTTACTCTGCTTCCGCTAAGACAAAACTTTTGCAAGTTGTGTTAAAAATAATAGGAAAGCTAAGATTTGAAGAACAAATGGATAAACTATTTTAGCATGTGTGTCTCTGTGTTTGTGGATGTGGATGTGGTTGTGGATGTGAATGTGAATGTGGCTGCGAATGTGTATAAAATTAAAGTTCCCGACACGTAGGCAAACACATTGTGCACACATCCATCCACACGGGTATATCATATAAATGGGAGTTGCAGAGCCACATCCTGTGGATACATTTTGCTCACCAGGCGTGTGCGTGTGTGGAGCTACAAGTTGTGCATAAATAATTTGCGGCAGCTGCGCTTGATTGACTGAATGACTGACTGACTGACTGACTGAATGACTGACTCACTGACTACTGTACGGACTGGTAAGAATTACGGGTGGAAATTGCTCTGTCGGGAGGGTGGAACAAATGGAAATCATTGACAATCGCGGAAAGTTCCTCGCCAGTCCAGTGTTTGTCTCCGTCAAGGACATACAGGATATAAAACCTCACCAGGTGCGAAAGGTTGGGTGGGTGTGGAGTGTGCGCACGTCATCGGTTTGAGGAAAACCTGCCCTACACTCTCCCACATCGCGTCAATCAATTCGCAAAAGTTTAACGAACCTGCGAGGTATGTCAGTTGTGCGAGTGTGTTGGTTAGCGTGTGTATACGCACTTTGCCGCCATGATAAAGGAGGACTGCTCAAAAAAAAAAAGCTTTTCTCTAAAGTGTTCCGGAAATTAGCTTTGGCAGGAAAAGTTTGCCAAGCTTTTCTCCCTTTCGAAAATGTAGAGTCTACATGTAACTGACATTCGCCTCGGGTTCTACTTTCGCTTTCTCGTCAAGAAAATTTTTAGTTTTGGAAATGAATTCAGCCAAGAAAAACACCCATTTCCAAAATTGAATAGCTAAAAGCTTTTTTTTTAGTTCTTTGTATCTTTAGATGGCAGTAACGTCTCTTTTATAGCGTTGAAAACAGCTGACTGAAATTATAAAACGCTCTGGATGGATGTAAAAATCTTACCGATAGCTATATTTTAACATTGTTGTCTTAAGATATTTGCTAGCATATTGCTTACTTTTTTCTATAGTATCTGACTTTCTATAATTTTGCTTCAAATAAGAAAAGTTTTAAGTGAAGTTTATCTTAAATTATGATACTTGCAATAAGACATTGAAAGGCATTTTATTGGAAAGTTGGTGGTGCTCCAAAGTTGCTGAAAATGGTTAATACATATTTACACTATAAATTAACAAGTCTTAACCATAATGAAAAACCATACCCAAAAACTTAAATTTTCTGAAAAGACAAACAAGACTATATCTCTATTGTAGGCAAATTTTTGTGAACTGGCTAGAACCGGCTAAGAATTCGAATTAAAAAGTCAACGTTGTATCTTAAACTCAGTATTTATTAGGTACTTGTTAACCTCGTAAGATAATACTCTCGGATCTGAGTAGGCATCCTGAAACTTAACGACTAACAAGCCACGACAACGGTCATCACCAGCCGTGATCCTTTTGCAGGACGTGCTTGTAGATGGTAATGGGAACAGGGTATGGCTTCGGCACCGGAATCTTGATCTGCTTGATCACCTCGACGGGATAGGGTTTCTCCACCTCCACGGGATATGGCTTTTCCACGGTGTAGGGTATCTTGCGTTCGGTTATCTCGGGCACTATTTTGTAGACAGGCACTTGGATCTCCTGCTGGACGGGCACGTGGACGGCGTAGGGTTCCGGGATCTGCAGCCGGATGACGTTGGGCACCTGAACGGCCACCGGATGGGGAATGGGCAGCGGCACCTTCTCGATCACGTGCACGGGCACGTGCTTGGATATCTCCGAGTATGTGGTGGGTGTGTGATGGTGATGATGTTGGTAGTGACCTTCGCCTCCTCCTCCTCCTCCGCTTCCGCTTCCGCCGTAGCCGTAACTCTCGCCATATCCTTCGCCACTGTGCTCCGAGGCGCAAATCAGCTGAATACTGCAAATCAGTAGCTACGGATGGCACTTGGTATTTAAACTTTTGGAGACTACCCCTTTTCACTCACTGAACTTACGAATTTCCACATCTTGTTAATGGCCGTGGCTAGCTGGCCGGATCTCTGTTTGGCAATGCGAATGGTTGCCATCTGACAACTGGCTTTTATAGAGCGCGAGCCCAAAAGTGAAAGATTCGCAATTGGGCCTAGGACGGGCAGTTGATGTAACCATAGCATTGAAATAGAAAGTATTGCATTACCACTCGACTCGCATAATTTCCATTGTGCGCTTTTCCAGCGAAATGTTATATCAACAAATTGGGTTCAACTGGGTATCAAGTGGTTCGAGTGAGCGGACATGGCCCATTCCATCTCGTCCGCTTTAGGGTTAAGGTTGTTACACGTACTTGAGTTCTGCAGTCGCTTCCGTCAACCGTGGCCGTGGCCGTTGCAGCTGCAAAAGTGATAGTCACCCAAGTGGTCCACCGCAGCCAGCAACTTGCAACTTGCAACATGCAACTGTTGCTGGTGCTGCTGCTGCTGCTGCTGCTGCAGGCGGTCGGGCAACTTTTAATCAGCGACCGAGATTGCCGCAGACAATGAATAGGAAGCAAAAAACTGGTCGGGCGTGTCGCTCGTTAACTTGGGTCAGCTATGGATTGAAAATCATGACACAAAATGCGATTACACTATGGCTTTAAATGGTGATTTATTTTACAAAATATGCCTGTCGGTTATGCATTAGAAAAACCTTATATTCTGCAGGGACATAACTGAACTAGCTAACTAATTGCGGCGTACTAAGAACTACGACACTACTTTTGCCTCTCCCTCCAGCTCGTCTCCCCAATCCCAGTTGTTGAAGGAGTCCTGGAAATAATAATAATTTTAAATTAATTAGTTCAACACTTAATATTATAAAAACAAAAATAAAAAGTTAATCGGTTTCTATAAAGTGATAGTTGAACTATTTTTCATTGCGTTTTTCATTATATGTTTGTTCAATATCTAATAAGGTTTTGTCGGAATAGATTTTAATATTTGAAATGCTTAATTTACTTCTTATTCATATTAAACTTAAATAAAATTAAAATAATACAAATGGAAAAGTTCTTTTAAATCATAAAATTTTCATTTTAGTTCAAATATTTTACTATTAAGTATTTTTGCTTATTATTATTGCTCTTAAATATATGAACTATAACCTTCTGGATTCAATAGCCACATATTCAATATTACCATTCCACTTTATTTTGAGAGGTTGTTCGAATTTTGTACTTATAGCGCTTTAAAAGGTATAAAATCGAGAGTTTTACTTTTGAGTCAAATAATTTTAAATTTTTTGTAATTTCAGACACATATTATATAGATATTTCCTATATACTCACATAGTCATCCAGATCGTACTTCTCCTCGGGCAAAGCCTGTGGTGAGCAGGCCATGTAGGAGACGCCCGTGTTGTGGGCGGAGCACTCGCAGGTCTGGCTCTGGATGGGCGTGGCACTGAGGGCGACTCGCTTGGCGAATATGGTGGCGAACCTCTTGATGGGATATTTCCGCTCTGGCTGCAGCTTGCGGGCACTGAACACGGATCCCTGAGTCTCGACAGCGAGCGTTGTGCAGATGCCCAAATTGCTCTTGGGAATGTGCGTCGTATTGCGGGTTTCGGCATCGCCTTCGGGGAAACGTTTCGAGTAGACCAGTTTGCTGTCCAATCCAAAGAAGTGACGCAGCTTTTTGTTGCGCTCAAAGTCGAATTCTGTGTCCGCCAGGATGTGCAGGTTGATGCCCTCCTCCAACATGTATTGCAAAATGGAGGTGTAGTCGAATCGCATGTCCTTGGCCGCGCACCTGCTGCAGGAGAGCAGGATGAAGGTCTTCGACACACCCGGACGGAAGTTTAGCTTGGCAGCTGCGGAAATGGCCATTAGGATGTCGTTGCTGCTGCCATTTCCGGTGTTGATGTGGCCAAAGTAGTCAGCCAGCTGATCCGGCTTGGAGGTGAACTCGTTGTGTTCGTATATAACGCTCCTTGGCTTGTCGTAGGGTGCCACTCCGCCAAAGGCCAGTACACCATAACTGGGGTTTTTGAAATATATAGAAATGGTGGGTTGAGTTTGAGGTCAAATCATTTGCTTAAGTACTTACCGATTGTTCGTAAGCCTGGCGGCCTGCAACTGCTCCTCAATGCTGCTGACCACGGTCATGATGTTTTTGGACGCCCTGAGATTGGCATTGCACTCCTTGGCCTCCACAATGAAGACCACATCGCTACTGCGTGGAATCTCGCTGCCCGAAAGCTCCATGAAAGTGCCTTCGGGTACATATGAACCATTGGTCAGTTGGCAGCTTAAATGTGATCATAATTAGTGATATTTTGTGCAGGTTATCCCGAGGAGATTGGCTGACTTACAACACACACTGAGAAGGCACGCGCATGGGAACCTTCAGAGCTGTACAGGCCTCGATGTAAGCCAAAGCTGCTGCACAAGCACCTTTGACAGCCGGATGTCCCTTTCGAATGGGCGGCGATTTCATGCCCAAGTCCAGACACATGTCGTAGAAGGGAGCGGGATCGAGGACCGCACTGCAGGGGGCCAGGATGCCGGTGCGGAAGAAGCTGGTGCAGGTCTCACTCACCTCCTTGCTGACCTCTTGGCTCTGGGCCAACTTCGTCTGCCTGCACTGCTTCAGGCTCCACGAATCCGTGAACTGCTGCGTCTCGTTGGCAATCACGCTGTTGGACATGGTGTACTCATCCGAGGGTTCGTTGTTCAGGGTGCCCAGTAATCCCGCTGTCCTGGCGAAGTACCATCCGCTCACTTCGAACCAGCACAGATCGAACTGCACATTACAGTGCAGACTGAACTCGGTGTCCGAGGTGATCGAAAGTACGTCCAGATCCCGATGAATGTTTACAGCGCCCAGTTTGAGCGGCAGTATGGGTTGCGGGTTGCCATTGATGCTTATATGCTGGTAACAAAACAAAAGGATGAGTATCCATTGGATAAGTGTGAGTCACTTGACCTACGTCTGTGCCCAGGTCAATTTCAATCAGTTGATCATTGGCAATGAAGCTCAGTTTGCGCGTCAGTCCTTGGCCAGCCAGGGATTTGCTCTAAAAGTGGAGAGTTTAAATAATAAATCAAGGTATTTGTACAAAAACCCACCGCTGGCTCCAAAAGCAAGGTGAAGTTTCGTTTGAAGAAGTCGTGGGCTAGAAGATAGCTGCACTGGGAATTGGGTCGCCCATTTCCAAACTCGTCAAAGTTGAGGTTCAGACCCACATACCGCTGGTCAAATGTCATGTAGTGCCGCGAGTCGATGAGCAAGGCGCGAGCTGAAAAATACAAAATGTATCAAAACAAATAAGGAAATAAATTATAATTAATTGACTAACAGTAGTAGGGTGGCAGCCAGGTCTTGGGGTCCAGATGAGTCCGCATGTTGTACAGCTTCATGACGATTGAGGAGTTAGTCTCACTGAAGAAGCTCTGCGCCTTGGCCAGCACCTGGTACTCGGGAATCTCCTCGAACTTGGGTGTCTCGTTGAAGGCGTGCCATGACATGGGTAACTTTTGTTCCAGATCGATAATACCCACTTCGGGATCGAAAACAAACTTGGTCTTGGCCTCCCTATACATGTCGGCGGTTTCCAAGGCATTCATGGCATAATTTCGGAACTTATTCCGCATCAGTCCGTACACTTGATGCATACGATTTTCTAGCTGAAGTTCGTCGGCAACCCAATCGATTTTGGCCACCACCTCGTAGTACTTTTGCACCATGATCTGCACCTGTTCAATCTTTTCAAGTTCTTTGATCTCCTGCCAGATTTCGGTGAGCACCTCATTCAACTCAGCCCCGAAGGGCACCAGCTTGAAGTACTTCTCCTTGATGAAATTCCACGCCAGCGTTGAGTACTTTTTGATGTTGGTAATGGCATCGTTGGCCTTGATGTCGCGATAAAGTCGATCCGCATCAGCCGTAAAACTAGAGACCTTATTGAAGTATGGAGACTCCGCCAGCTCATTGGTGCGTTTGTAAATAAAATCGAACACCTCCTTACTGAGATTCCAGGCAGTTGTCTCTATAAAGCTAATCATCTTGAAGAGATGGGGCTCAAATCGCTTGAGTACTGCCTTCCAGTGATTCTCCGCCAGAGTCCAAGTTTTGTGCCACAGGTTTTCGATGTATTTAATGAACTTGATGTGCAATTCCTTGACAAAGCTATCGTACTTCGCAATGCCCTTCTCCATCAGACCGGATATGTAGGTTAGACTCTCGCCATGGAAGAATCGGGCCACGGCATCCAATAGGTTTGTATATGTGGTTTTAATGGTTTCGATCAGCCACACAATACTGTTGCGTAGAGCCTTGCCCGAATCTCCCATCGCCTGCCACAGTTCTGTGAAGATCTTGGGCAGCGATTCGATGTGGTCTCTGATGGCAAGCTCATCCAGGATAGTCAGCGTAAAGTTAACCACGTGCTTGATATAGAAATCGTTGGCCTCATATGACTGATTTACAAACAGCCGCAGATCGGCAAGATCCTCCTCCAGCACGCTCAGCTGACCAATGTCGTCGATGAAGTCCTTGTTGTACTCCTTAGCCGTGTTCCATACCACGGCCATCGATTCCGTGGTTTCCGTGTAGATCGACTTGATCCAAAAGTCGATTCCTTCCGAGAATGAGCTGTAGACCGATTTGCCCACGGCGTGTATTTTCTCACGCACTTCTTGCCGAATAGCCGGACGCCAATGGAATCGACCTGTGATCAAACGGGAGTGATTCATCTTCAGGTACGAACTGACGTCGATCACGCGGATCTCCTCGTAGTTGCGCCAGATGTCCAGAAAGGCACTGCGAGTGTCCGGGATGTCGGCCACCATTTGCAGGTTTTGGCTGGCATCCTCCGTCAAGTTGAAATCCATGCGAGCATATCGCTCCAACAAGTTCGTGTATATGTATCCCGAGTGGTTTGTGTCAGGAGTATCCCAAATTGTGGCATTCAAACCGTAAACGGGGTACCGGATGGTGGGCAGCAGATGTAGTCGCACCGTATGGAATGGCGACACACGTTCGTATTCCAATTCCCGCTTATTGACATCGAGCAGGGCCAGGAACTTGCCGTATCTCGCCGGGAAGATGTCACGCTTGTAGTGGGCCGTGGACTCCGTCTTATAGTATGAGTTGCGGGCCGCGAGCGTGCCGTTAAGCTGCACATCCAGCTCAGAAGCCTGGTGCTTGCCGTACACATGGAAGGTGTAGTTGGTGTGGCCCAGTTCACTGTACCTGTCCCTCAGTTGAGCACCCAACTCAATTAGTTGGTCAGGATTGTCCGAGTAGTTGATGGTGATGTGAGTTCTTAGCAGATCCTGCAATCCGCGGTAGTACGTAGCCTTGCAGTTGATGTCCTTCTCCAGAAGAGGATGTGCCACTGTCAACGCTATAGTGCGATGTTCACGATCTCCGCGGCGCAATGGTTCAGCCGTCCACTGCAGGTTGCTGTGAATTGCCTTGGGCTGAAGCTCGTAGTCCCCACCTGCCCATTGGAAGGACAGGTCGGAGTTGAAGTGGTCGTCCGTCATGTAGTACTGGCCCGAGGAGGAGAGATTTCGCTTCGGATAGAAGATTTCCAGGGCGAAGCTCTGGGACTCGTTGCCAACCTTAGTGGGTGAATGCTTGTAATAAGGATAAGTTAACCATATAACATCCACTTACCTTGCTAAAGTTGCCCAGCTCCAGGTTATACCCTATCCAGGCGGTCTCCGACAACTCCAACTTGGTGTGCTGCCTGATTACTTGGGGGCTGACATCCTCGAACTTGGTGGTCAGCACCACGGCGCGGTTCGGATGAATAGCCACCACCTTGAAGTCCTGAGCCTTGACAGTGGTCCGTGAGTGCAATTCGCCGGTCAGGTTAAAGTTCTGCGTGTTTCGCAACTCAAAGACCTCTAAATGCTTCACATCCTGCGTTCCTGCGGGATCGCTGGCATCCCTCAAACTGCGATAGTGTATACCCAAAGGCTTTACGTCGTTCTCCAGCGAGATGTCAGTCGTCTCCTTGTAAATGGGATGCTTCTGCTGCTCCGCCCGTTTATATGTGCCATCAAGAACTTGCCTTTCATTGTAGTTGACCTTGACTTGTCCTTGGTCCTGGTTGCGTCGCTTCGTCAGGCTATAGAAAATCTCCGCCCGATGGCGAGTTGCCAATGGAACTTCTATCTCTACATTACCATTGAGGTTGTGGTTGAAATTGGTGCTGTCACTGTCGTAGTTGCTCTTCAACTTGAAGTACGCCGAGTCCTCGGGCCAAAAGCAGTGGCAGTATCGATAGCTCTTCCCACTGTGGATAAAAATAAAAATAATTAATTATAATATTAATTATAATAGATAGAACACAAAGTAAAACTAACCTCTTGGTGGTAAAATCAAAATCAGTCTTGAACCAACTAACGTTGAGGAAGGTTGGCATGGTACTGTTAAATACACCGTTCATGTTGCTCAGCGAATTAAAGGAAACATCCAGATCGGTGATTCGACGACTGGCTGGATAGTCCAAAGCACACACAAGGTTGTGGTATTCCGCATTCTTCTTATCGTAGTGTCCGGAAAGGGCAAAAGTGTGCTCGTCCTTGAACTTGGGTGTGATCATCTTGGCATAGAACTCTTGTCGGCCACCTGTCTTCCGTAGGAGCTCAAAGTCTCCCTCCACGACAGACAGACTCTGCAGCTTTCCCCATTCCACGTGGGTTAAGCCCTTCAAGTCATTGGTTGTATTGCGGAAAGAAACTCGGGACAGAAGTTTGTTCTGTGCCTCCAAGCTCTCGTAGCTTGTCTCGATGACAAAATCGGGGTTGATGAACTGTTTGCTAATCACATTACCCTGGTAGCTGGCACTCAACTGATGGCGATCCCCCACTGGTAAGGGCAATTCGGAAATAACTCTGAAGTCGAAGTCATCGGAGGATTTATAGTGCACACTGCCATTCACATCGAGGTTCCATTTGGAGTCAACACTCAGGCGACCGCCCATCTGCAACTGAGCGAAGTTTTGTCCTGGGTTTAGGTACTTGGCACTGGCATGAACAATTCTCGGCCGAGCGTTTGGTCTCTCAAGATAACTCTCCAGCACCAGCTGAAGATTCTCGGATAGGATCCAAGACCACAGGCAACTTCCTCGTCCGATATACTGTCCGATCTTATACTCGCCGACTATGTTACCGCCAGTACTGCCAACACCCACATCTGAGTGCAGGTGAACCGAATCGATTCCGAGCTCCTTCCAAGGGGTCTCCAAGTTGAGGTCACCCACAATGGATCCCTTAGAGTTAGGCTTTAGGTTGCCATTGAAGTTGATGCGGGCGATTTCCGGCTCCGTACTCTCCACCAGAACTGAGAAATCCATGGCTCCGTTGCCCTCGCTGACACTGTATCCTCCGGAGATCTGGCACATCTTGCCATCCTCAATGGCGCTAAAGGAGAAGCCGATCTTCTTTGGTCCCTTCTCGTGGATGTTCAACTCAATTACACCATCCCTTCCGCCAGCTTTGGGCTGAACCCTTATAGTCACATCGATGGGCAGGCTTTTGGACATGCGGACAGCTCCTGTGATGCCATATGTGGCCATATTCCGATACAAGAACCCTGAGACATCATAGCGCTCAGCATCACGGGGGTTTCTGGCGACAGTACCATGCATGGAAATGTTTCGGAAGTTTTTCAAAGGAGTCCACACTTCAATGTTAAAGACATCCTTCTTTTTGTTTGCTCGCGTTCCGTAAGATATGCTTTGGCCGTCCTGGCTCAGGAAGTTAAGATCGAAATTGAGCTGGGGGTTTTGATCCCTCGTGAGGAGAACTGAAGAGGACGCCAGTTGAAGTGGCAGCATGGTAGTACGGATCTTTCCATTGGCATTGACTACGTACGAGGAATCTGTATGCCAATCAGTCGTAATTTGAAGCTGTTCGGAAAAAAACAATTTTTATTTGGTTGATGTTATGGACTCATTTTGGGACATTACCTGGTTCAATGTTCCATTATCGGTGACCTCGAAGCGAATGTCGATGGTGTTATCGATGGCAGAAAAGTCCTTTTTGAAGTACACCTGGCAGCCATAGTGTGGAATAACGTCCGTTTCCAGCACAATGCCTACTGAGGTTTCCAGGAAGTTGTCCTCGTTCTGAAATGTTAAATGATAATGAAACAATATTTTATGGTTGTGATAGAGGTACTAACCTCTACGGAGGCGGCCATCGAGAGACGTGTGTAAGCCGTGACTGAGCTGATGTTTCCCTTATAGGCATTATCGTCCAGTTCCACGCGACCATGTATGTCGATCTGTCTGAGCAATTCATAGGGTGTAATAAGCTTTAGCTGAACATCATGCGCCTTTGGTTTCACATTGTCCTGCAGTTTGGTGTAGTTAAACTCAAAACCCAGTTCCTTCAACTGGTTCTTGTCATCGTTCACTGCGAATTTAATGCGCTCATAGAAGGAGTTAAAGTGCAAGTCGACGTGGTACTCCACAATCGATTTGATATCTTTGGCCACAGCAAACGGTGTAGTCACGGTCAGAAGATTGTGCACATTAATGTAGTCTGGGTAGTGAAGGCGGTCCTTGAACTCCAATTTACCCTGTGGCAGATCCACATGACCAACAACCAGGTAGAAGTCGATGATCTCCTGAATGTCCACATTGCCCACAATAGTGGGCCAGACTAGAGTGTCCACCTGGAAGTCTGTGAAGTATGAGAAGTACTCCACATCCGGATCAGGCTTGTAATCTGTCTCAACATTCAGGGGCTTAAAATCTGCATCATAGAGCATCTCCAACTCCATCTTGTTGCTGCCTAGCTTATTGACCAAATCTGATTTCGGTTTTCCATTGATCTTGACACCGAGCTTATAGTGGGATAACTTGCCATGTAACTGGAAGACGAACTCGTCCCTCTTCAGCAGCTGAACTATAAATCCATTTTGCTCGAAGCCAGCCAGAGGAGTGAACACCAGATAGGAGTACTCAAAGTCTGTGATATTCTCCATGTGCCACACGCCCGTGAATCCCAGAGTAACGTTGTTCCACAGCCCGCGCATGTCAACACGCTCCGGTTGGAACAGTGCAAATATCGCCGCCTGTTGGAAGCTCTCGATGGGCGTGGCTAGGCTCAGTTTGACATCGAAGTTAAGAAGATTCTTTATGTCAGCCAAGGCCTCCACTCCAAGAGCTGCCGTTGGTGCTCTTACCTCAGCAACCGCATGACGTTTCTTTTCATTTAGGCCAAAGCGAGCGTTGATTGTACGGAATTTCTCCAGAGGAGTGGTTATGTTGATGGTTAGCATATTGTCCGTGAATTTCTTAACATACCCGTCCATGGTCAGAGTGAACTCCCTCACATCGAAGTTGAGTGAAGCTGCTCCACTGACCTCACGCTTATCGCTCAAAGAAAATTGGGCCACTAGACCACCTTTCTCGTAACCCTGGAACGGACTAACCAGATGCACCAAGCCGGAAACATTGTGATATCGCTCATTCCGCTCAATCTCCCAACTGGAGTCCACGCTGTATGTGTTAAAGGTATCGTTCTGGCCACTGTATCCCAGATACAGCTCCGTGTCAACCTTTTTGGCGTCCTTCCAATGCACCACCTTCACATTGATTGTGGGAATATCCCGAATGGTGCTGTTGATGCCAAAGCGTACATCAAAGCTCACCAGCTGATCGTTGATGTCGTAGTCGCTCTTGAAGCCCACCTGCAGCTTCTGATCATCTGCCCAAAAGAGCGTGGAGTTGATTAGGATCAGGTTGTGCAGGTTATAGACTCCGGCATTAAGACTGTTGGTCCGCCAACCATCGAATGGCGTACGCAGCTCAGCCTTCACCCAGTTGTGGAGCGACCGACCAGGTAGCAAACCCGCCTCGTACTCGAACTCGATCACCTCGTTTATGCTCCAGGAAGCGTGAGCCTTGCCAAAGTACTTGGGTCCTCCAGTGAAAGTGTTGAAACCAAAGTTGATGGTGCGCTCCGGATAGGTGACCATCACGTTTCCATCATAGTGCTTTGTTCCCGGACTATTGTACTCTGCAAGCAGGCCCAATCTCTGGCTAGGATCACGATTAGCATCCCACTTGAGTTCCAGGGAGAGCTCCTTGCGCTTGTCCACATTCAGCAGGCCAACTTTGATGTGCACATCACGTATTCTAAAGGTTTAAATTGGCATAAGCATTTTAAACTCGAGAAAGGATGATTAGTCTTACTTATCTATGTGAATTTCCAACTGCAGAAGCTTTGGCTGCTCCGACAACAGCTTGGCATTGATCCAGTAGTCGCGTTCCTTAACCTTCAATCGTACCTCTGCATTGGAGTTGCGATTGTGTGCATTTGCTGCATATTGTACTGTGAGGCCATAGGGGTCCTTGCCGTACTTGGCCTGCACATCGTAGAAGATCAGTAGCTGGTTTCGGCGGTACACAATATTGAGGGAGGTCAGCTCGAAGGATGGACTCTCCACAATCATCTTGAGATGATGTAGGGCCTGTACCCGGGAACTGCGGTCTTTGTAGTTGGCCTTGACTGCGATTGAGTGTCCAGTAAACCAGGAACCATTAATGAAGATCTTTAAATAGGTAAAACATAATTATTCACTATGTACTTAAAAAGACTCTTTAGAAGAGATATATTGGGGTGACAAAGAAATCTCTTCTGTTAAAACTTGTATCTGTGATATAGGTATAGCTTAACACCCAGTTATTCTAAAATAATTAAACCTTACCAGATAGTCCTTGGTGGCTTTTTCGTTCACTTTCAGGCTGGCCGTACAAGAATTGAATTCCGGCACAGTCACGTTCATGTAGGCATCAATGGCAAACAGGTTTCGTCGTGGCAAATGAACGGAGAATAAACCTGTGATCTCTTTCTCAGGAGCGTACTTCAGACCCACGATCACATTGTGCTCGGTTCCATTCTTGCTGCGCTCTTCGTGCCTTTAAACAATGAGTTAAGTGTTAAAAACAAAATAAAAAATAAAATATTTTAGCTGAGAAACTCACTTTACTAAGATGCGGTAGTCAATCTTTGATCTGGGCAACTTCAGTTCTAGACTGGCCCGCGTACGTGAGCCCTCCCATGCGGAATCCTCTGAATGAGAACGAGCGAAGACCAAGCGCAGCAGACTCGTATAGTTGGGATTTACATAATCTGGTGCATTATTGTAGGTGATCATGCCTTCAGTGTGGCCCTGTAGACTAAGCCAAGTTGCATCCGAGGCGAAGTTTAGCTTAGGATATGCCGAGGTCTGCAGCTTCATGTTACCACGATACTCTGTTTTGGTTTTATCTCCATTATTTATCAGCTTGCCTGCGAAGTTAATCTCCTCGATCTTGTTTGCTTGGAACTAATATAGGTTTCAATTTAAAATGAAATTTAATAATATAATTGCATATGCTCACCCTGTACTTAATGGTCATGTTGGTGGAAGTGGTTATCTCGCTTTGCACGATGTTACCCTTGATCACAGCCTGAAGCTTTTTGGTCTCAAAGGAGAGATCTACGTCGTTCTGCTTAATGCCATTCTTTTCGTTGACTTTCACGGTGCCTGCCAGTCCGGTTATGTTGACTCCATTAATTGCGAGCAGTATTCTGGGATTGTAGATCCAGGCGGTGAAGTCTTGATGCCTTCGCAGTTCCATACCCAGGTCCAGAGATCTGTTTCCATTCGTGTCAAGGTAAACATCCAAGCGTCGGAAGTCTGGATCTCCATCATAACTGCAACCGGCGGATACCCGATTGGGGCCATTGACGAATGCCACGGAGGCATTGAAGGCATCGGTTACCTTGGTCACATTCGCGACCAAAACTCGCGGAACCTTTGAGCCTGGTGTAGTGAACACCAGCGAGAAGTTGTTGTCCTGATCCTGCTGGTCCCATTTGTACTCGAACACATACTTCTTAGCAGTTAGATCGGATTTCTTAAGGATCAAGCTGAAGTTGAGTGGTCCTGCCAGCAAAAGGCTCGGGTAAATCCCGGTGGCATTACTCAAATCCGGAACACTATAGTGGGAGCACATCTGCAGTCCGATGGCCTGATCGAGAACGGGCCACGTGCAGGTGGAATTGGCACTCCGTTTGACAATACCCGCCTGGGGCAGCTCCGCCTCACGCTTTTGCACCAGAAGTTCGGATCGGAAGCTGAATATTTCGTTCTGGTCCTGCGGGAGATTGAAGGAGAAGGAGACCAGATTGCGGCCACGCACCTTCAGCTTGGCCACCAGCTCCGAGTTGGAGTACAGGTTGCTCTTCACCTTGATGCCCGATTGATCCCAGAACATGTCCGTCTGCATGGTGGTGATCACATCCACGGAAACGGAGGGCTTGAACCGGCCCTCGACATCAAAGTGCCAATCGGTGGGTGGATCCACTTGATCCAGGTTACCACTGATACGCAGATCCACGGAAGAGGCTCCGAAGGCGTGAATGGCCAATGGAAGGCCGACTGCCAGGGGCACTGTATAAGAGGCATCCAGAAATACCCGCGACTTTGTGTAGTTGAACTCTCTGCCGGAAAGCACGTTCTTGGCCTGCTGGAAGGGATTGAATGTGGCGGCCAAAGCCATCACCTCCACCATGGACTCCACATTGTAGTATTGCAGATCGTTGCCGAAGATCCGAAGACCAAACTGTGCTCGTGGGTTATTGTAGTCATACTTCAACTTGTAACCCAGACTGTCCACATTGCGATCAATTTCCTGCTTGCGAGTGCTGCCTGCATCCCGTTTATGACGCTTCGAACCTTCCAAAGACTCCTCGAAGTCGTACTCTTCGTCCTCTTCCCGGTCATAGGCATCAACAGATTGCTGGGCCTTCCTCTTGAGTCGCAGATTATCCAGACTAAGCAGATTCTCGAGGGTATCGTCCTCCTCGGCACTTTCGTTGCCCAGCCAACGGTTGAGGAAGGAGAGCTTCTTGCGCAGCAGCTCGCCGCTCAAAGGACCCTTGGGTCCAAAGGCATTGGACGCCAGCTCCTCCAGTCCTTCGGCGCGGGCAGTGAACTCGAAGAAGTTCACTGACTGACCAAAGAGATCGGCCGTGAAGTTGAGGCTGGCAATTCTTGGTAAATAGGAATCAGTGGCAAAGATAATATTTGCATCCGCGGTAGTTCCGAAGTTATACTCGTCAAAGAACAAACTGTGCTCGTAGTTTCTGGAAAACTTACGGAAGTCCATCTTGAAGCGTTCGGAGAGCTCATCGTTAAGCAGCAGACCCTGGGCCTCGATGCGAACGGGGGAATTCGACTTGGCCAGGTTGGTGAGATGCGACCAGACGAACGAGCCCACCTGGTTGATTTCCTCATGATCCAGCACCGATTTAATGGCTCCAACGGATATATAATCTGGACACCTCATGGCCTGCAGGTAACTGTATATGCGCAGCTCCGAGTTCAGAGTGTAGTTGGCATAGGTCTCCAGGAAGTAACTGCGGTATCGAAGACAGTCCACGCGGCGGAAGGCTAAAATACCCTGCAGTCGTATGTCCACTGGTGCTTCATCATCCCTGATAACCCCTTGCAGTCGCTCGGCAAAAGCAGGGGACACAACTCCAATGTTGCCTAATCCTTTTAGCAAAATCACCATTCGCTCGCGGGTGCGACGTTCTCCTTTGAATTTGTTGTACAAAGATAGGAACTCGGTCTCCAGAAGGTTTATGATCTGCTGCACTCGCAGGTTCTCCTCACAGAACTCGTTGTGTCTGCAGAAGCTGTGCACTACCGCAGTGGCTCCCAGGGTGTACTCTGGGTCCAGCCTGTTCTTGGCAAACTCGAGGATCGTTTGAAACGTTTCCAGGGTCTCTTCGTCGGGACGGGTGATGAAGGACAGCGTTGTCATCCAGCTGTGGGCCTTCTCCTTCGACACCCGACCACTGACGATCTGATCCCGCATTACCTTATATGCGGCGGTGCTGCCGATATAGGGTAGCGATTCTAGCACATGGTTTCTGGGAACAAGAATTAAACGGGCTAATTAATCAAGTCGCTATTTTGGGTATCTTAAAGTACTTACTTGCCCTGTTCGCAGGTACTGGCAGACCGCTGAAGCAGCACGGATAAAGTCTTGTAGTCGAGGCTTTTGGAGGTCTGCAGAAAGTTGGTGAACACGTCAATGAACTCACGCTGGATGTTGGGGAAGCCAACTCTGCACATCTGCACCAAAAGTTCACGGGCAGCCTTAATCTCATCGTGCGAGGGCTTCACAGCGGGCGTATGGTCAAAGACCAGGGTGGCACGACGTTCAACCAGCTCGGGATCTGCGTCAGCGTAGAGTCATTTGATTAGATGCATTTGGAATCATTAGGGAATTACTTACTCTGCTCCAGGAACTCGCCAACGCTGTAAGTTTCCTCGCCCTTGAGACTCAGGCGACTGCTACTGGTGGTCAGGGCACCAGAGCTGGCATTGGAAAACGGCACCAGCAGATGGGTCTCCAGACAACTGACCTCGCGGTAGACATTGTTGTCAATGGTCAGCTATAAATCGTACAGACGAGATTTGATTTATAACAAATTAACAAAGGAAATGTAAGTGCAATATCAATAATAATTTTTTTTCGGACTCTGAAAGTACTCTTCTCTGCCTTAGCTGGCGTTTGAATGTTATAACAACTTAAAGTTTTAGATTACAATTAAATAATGTCTATATTTCTTTAGCAGATTCATGGTATTAACGTGCATTATATGGTATTTTCCTAAATTTTAATTTTTGAAAACATTGCTGATAAGATCTAAACTAAGTCAGAGAAAACGCAAATGGGATTTAAATGGTTTCAATGAGTACTTCCACAGGCCAAAGCTAAAATTGCGGCTACAATAAAAAACCGTTATAACGTAGCTCAGTATAATACGAAGAAATCCATAATTGGTATGTTATATAAAGGGAACCATTAATTTTACTTACATTGCAATGACTCTCAGATTTAAGGATGGGCCATATAGTCTTGTCATCGCGGAACGTGTAGGGCGTGGTCTGTAGCACCGAGTGGGTGGCGTAGCGCTGTCTGCAGGAATTGATGTCCTTCGTCTTACGGATCTTGACATAAACGCTGTCGGTGTCCTCGAGGGCGTACTGCACCTGGCACTGGCCAGACACATCCGTTTCGGTGGTGTTGGAGTCGACGTCGAAGCGCATCATGGTGTTCTGGAAGGCCGACAGAATGCCCTTCTTGATGTTGAGCACCCAGGGCGTCTCCAGCTCCTGCGGACACACTTCGCTGATGAGGCCGTCATGGTAGGAAAAGCGCAGTAGGTTCTGGCTCAGATCCGCTTGCAGATTCATGCTCTTGGGATGGAGGTTCTCATAGCTTGCCGGTTCGGACTCCTCGCTGGCCAAGGTATCATAGTAGTCGTACGAATCCTTGGGCTTTTCGGCAGATTCGCTGTCGTTGGACGTTTCACTCAACCCGTCCAATTTGTCGTAGAGCTTGGCATCGTTGATCCTCAAGTATCCCTCGCAGGGCTTCGGGAAGAATATCTCCAAGTTGGCCTTAAGCAGCAGATCCGAGCTGTTGTCGCCGGAACCAGCGAACTCGGTCCGCACCGCCACCGTATATTCATATTTGTACAGTAATTCGGCGTAACTGAACTTTGGATTTGGCAAGTCACATTGTGGTCGTCCGCATATGCGAGGGTCCTTAAGGGGGTCTACCAAATAAAGGATATAATTCAGTCATATCTGCTTTTAATAAATCTTAGTTAAACTCTTAAATCAAAGTTGAAATGTACAATGAAATTGAGAGATATCCGCTACTCAATCGCCTTTTAAAAAATATTTTTAAGGTTGGTGGTGAAAATATTTATGAAAATAAATCAAATGTGGTAATAGTCCCGTTTACCCTTCAAAGATTTTTATATAAAACAAATAAATATGGTTATAAGGCATTGGTTAGCAGGTATATCTAACTTGGATAACAGCATTTTGCTTTATAGATGAATTACTACTGATGGTGGACGTAAAGTCAATATAGCATATTTAAGTTATTATTTTTAGTGAAAGAATTTATTTTCTTCTCAATAATAATCGAGGGTTACTTTCTTTTTCCTCTTTAAATTCATATCAAGAGCTATTACTGGTTGAGTTTTGCAGTTCAAGAATTTTATATTCGGGCAATATAAACGGACTTGCAATGTTATTTCACATTAAAATCAAGTACTAGTTAAATTTATGTTTAATAAATATTCAAAATGAATTACTTTCTCTCACTGCCTGAGTGTGTGCGATGAGCAGGAGCAGCCAAATAGCCGCCTTAGCCTTCAATGCGCCCATACTGGGCTTCTCCTTGGCGATCGAAGTTTCTCCGGCTGGAACTTTGGACCAGGTTACATGTGGAGACCTGCAAGAGAAGAGCAAAGGTATGGCGTTGAGGAAACGGGGGTATGCAAGACGGAGATAATCCTGCTCAACTGCGACTTCATTGAGAATCATCACTGCCAGTTGACTGCCCCCACTGCGTTTGGCCTTTAATTAAATACATTTTGCAATTGATTGGACAAAGCGAGGAAACAATTGAGTTAACTTCAGAGAACACGTATTTGACATGCTGACACCAGCAGAAACTCTAGAAATGGCAAAGGAGTTCTGTACTCATGTAGCTCTGTAATATTCGCAAGATGATTTCTCACTCAAGTGCGTTATGGTCGGGAAATGGGTGCGATTTCCTTTGAAGCCGCACATATCTCGGCCAGAGTCATCCGTTCATTATTATAACACGCCAAGCCACGCCACGCCCACAGCCCCTGCTGGGCCAAATGCAAAGCCAAAGCAAATCAATTGAATTTCCACTTGATTCCACATAAAACACACAAAACCAAGACCGAAGAAGCACACCCGAACCCTCTGCCATCATTAATTCCAGCAATAAAGTGGTGGCGGACGGAGGAATCCAGCGGGGCGTTCCTCCACAGCTTCGATTGATGCCAACTGTTGTTTGCATTCGCATTTGCATTTGATTTTAGAGCTGTAACACAAACACACACACACACAAAAAAAAACAATAGAAAAAAACAAAGAGTTTACACTCTTTTTTGTTTTGCTCCTTGCACTTTGGTTTATTGAACCTTTGCGCTGCATATAAATCCAGTACTCTTTGCAATAGTGTTGGCAGGGTTTTAGAAAAAAACAATTAGACTTTAAAGTGATTTTAAGAAAGATATTAGAAATTAAGGAATAGCATTGTTTTTTGATTTTGTGAGTTTTGAATAGGTTTCTTATAGTTTTATCTTTTAATAAATATTTTTTTTATTCGCCCGCAAAACTGGTTCGGCGGGAGGGTAAAAAAAACATTTTTAAAAAGTGTCAAGTAGTTTCGTTGTCAAAAAGTGTTCCGATTTTTACGGAGTATTTGTCACAGGTTCAGATGTCGTTGTGGTTTAGAATCTAACTTCAATTTTACAATACAAATCAATAATATGAAAAAGTTTATTTAAGAAAAGAATGTATAATACTTTAACCTAAGATTATTTAAAGCCTCTGATAAATACCTATACAAAACTTTGGTCTTTAGCTTTATTTAAAATCACAAAAAAAATAAAACTTAAAAGGACAAATATGTTTGAGGTAAACCGAAGTAAAATTGTAAAAAATGGCAAGATTTAAACGGAAAAATGTCCGTGCTGACACCCCTGTCCCGCATGCCCTCCTCGGGTTCTTGCGGTCTGATTGCGGTTCTGGCTGCTTGCTGACAATGATTGCTGCAAGAAACAGTGAGAGCACTTAACACTTTTTTGCACTTTGACTCCAGATCCAACTTATGCTGCTGCTGCTGCTCCGGATTTGGCCAACGTGGCGTGTACATCAATTCGTTCATTTCCATCGAGGACTCCCTTCACTGCACCCACCTCGCCCGCAGGATAACTGTCGGAATCCTTGTGTGCGGCTGTCACAGATTGAATTGCGTTTGCTGCAGGCTACTGGCTACTGGCTGCTCGGGTAAATAATGATTGCAAATCACGCTGCTGACGCCAATCGGGCCAAATTGCAGTTTCCTCTATGTTTTATAGCTTCTTTTCTCAGCATGCTCCTTTTTTGCTTTTAAGGGCTCATCACATTTTTTCTATTGGCATTATATTTAAAATTAGAAGCTAGGCATTTGGTCGATAACTATGGAATTATGATCAATTTGAACATAACTATTTACATTTCGTTTGTTTAGATTTATTTCATTTACATTAAGCTTCATACATTTCTAATTTTAATAATTTGAACATAAGCTACTGCTCCAACAATGGCCGGCCATTATATTATTTAAAGTAAAATAAAATTTAGAAAAATATTTGACATACTTATCTGCAACAGCAGGAATGAATGGATGTTTTCGGAATTTTTTTCGCACACTTTAATATCACTGCTGAAGCTACAGTTTGCTCTAAACCCAATATTAAAATCTATAATCTTTTAAATTTATGTGCTTGAACAAAATGTTGTCAAACTAAATTGGTTTCAGTAGCGCTGCAGCTTATCAATTAAAGTTTCCCACGCACGGTGCATTGAGATTACGAGTCAGCGCCCTACCAAAAATAAGAATAGTGCCAACTTGTATGCACTGCAGCGAGTCGGGGGTTTCTCTTCACATCCATTTCATTCCACTTCACTGTTTTTATCTTTCTGCCAGCGGCGACCCCACGACCCATGACCCTCGAACCCTGAACCCCACCCTGCAGGTCAATCTACTGCAACTCTGCTGCACAAATGAAAAATTAAAGATACATTTTGTGTTACAGATTTGTGACAAGTGAATATCAGTTTAAAATGATTATTAATTTTTAAATGAATCTTTGATTGCGCAAAGTTTCTTTGTATGATTTAAAGAAATCTTTGGTCTAATATTTTCAATCAAAACACTGGTATTTTTTTTCAGTGCACCCCTCTAATACTACTGCCGTTTTCATCCGCAAAGTAGACAAAGCTGATAAGCGATAAGCGGCTTAACTGCCGCGACTACTCGGACGGGCGAGGATGTAAAACTGATTGCAGAATGGGAGCCGAACTATCGGGTATGAGAACATACATATAATTTGACAACGATTTGCAAGAATAATAATAATGGAAATGGCATTCGCGCGGCAAGCTCTTTGATGATTTTCGCTGCACTTTTGGTCCAAGCCGTTGAGCCGTTGTATCCACAAACAGCACAAGCCCGAAATCAAAAGCCCAAAAAAGAAGCAATAACACCGCAGAGTGCACATAAATTCAAGCTCCGCACCCCATCCCAGTGCGATCCCCAAGCAAACAAAACTTACGATTACTTGGCCAAAGCCAGAGAAACTCAGGAGCCATTTGTTTTCATATTTCCCCCTCACACACTCACACCACGCAGCCCCCCTGCTCCCCATTCCCTGGGCACCTCTCATAGAACATTTCCCAGGCAAACATTTTGGTAAAAATGCATTTTCAAGTGAAGGTGAAGTTGCAGTCGAGTTCTGTAGAAAGAAGAGGAAATGGTAGATATGTGAACTGTGGAACCTCTGGGGCGAAAGGGCACAAGGAAAACTTTAGCAGATTGTTAGCGAGTTAAAAGAACACATGAAATGATTTTGAAAAAGCCAGTTCATATGATTTTTACATTAAAAATTCAAATACCTTCAAAATATATAATCTGCTTGGTAAAATCTATAGTATGCATACATGGTTTTTGAAGGGAAACTATTTTTGTCAACTTCTTTTCAGCTAAAAAGACAAATAACACCTAAAAACAATCAGCTGTTTATAAACAAAAGAAGAACTCACATCTTGGTTGTTTTTACTTTTTATGTTTTTGTGTATCTCTTCAGTTAAGATCAACCACTATACTTTCTGCCACTTAATTTGAAACCTCATATCATATCTTTGGCATATTAACTAATAATCAATACAATTTAAAGAAGGCATATCATTTGTAAATCAAATATTCATGCAATTGTTGAGTCTTGCCTTCCCATGAGTCGGTCTAGTGGAATTTTGCCTTGATCTCCCAACCTCTAGCTCCCAGTTCAAGAAAAACGAATAAAAAACAAAAAAAAAAATGTTCTGTAACATAAATTCCAAAGTAAATGCAATTACGTTTGCTGCAACAATTTTCCGTTGAAAGGCAGCGGAGGAACACCTTTCTATACGGTTTGGATGCGGGGTCGTGCGTGGCACATATGTACGCACATACACATCCATATGTTCCGCATGAATTGTAAGGCGGAAATTCTCATCGTCGTCATCGCTGCTGGCATGCAAATCTAATAACAAAGTCGGAAAAGAAAGTTCCCCTTGCACCGAAGGAAACATCAACTTTGAGGAGTTGCAAACTAGATTGGAGCTGGCTGAAAAAAAATACAAGTGACGAAGGAGCAGATCTCCTCCATTAACGTTGCGTTTATTCGAAAATTTTGAGTGCGTGGCATGCAGCAGTGGCTCCGGAAGCAGCAGCAACAAAAAGCGACAAAGGAACAGGAAACGATGACAACGGAAGCACGCACTCATTGCATAAAGACAGAGCAGTATGTCCCCGATTCACATTCCTCCATTTGCAAGCTCGACGTTAAGGGGAAAAAAATGAAGGGAGCGCAGAGCAATAAGAACGGTGCGATCTGACTTCTATTAGTTTTTCACCGGGGATATTAATACCCCGTAAATGTAGACCCTAAAGTATATCGTATTTTAATGTCAAGATGTATCGGCTTGAAAACAACAAAAGGAATAATCAAAACACTCTAGCGGAAGGGTAAAATTGAGATGTTTAAATCTTTTAATTAAATTTGAAGTAGTTTTTATAATTTCAAAATTATAACCAAAGCTATAATTTTTTCTTGCGAGATCCTGATACAGGTATATACTTATAAACCGAAAAGGGGCTGCAAAAATATTTTCGTTATAAAATTAGTTAGATTTGTGAACCCTTTGACGAAATACTTTTCTCTGAATATTTGATTTTGGATTTTATAAATGTCCTTAATAGTATAAGTAGTTTTGTAGTCTGTAGATGCGAAGAATGAAATAGTCGGGGGCCAAGAAAGTGAAGTCAATGGTTTTTTGGTGCCATCACGCCACCTGGCTGCCATTTTAGCGCCATCACGCTCCGCCCGGCCTAGGCTCCTTGTTATTGTTGTTGGCATCTGTTTTTGCTCCCAGCCGACTGGACTATCCTGGCCCTAATGGCCTCCAAATGGGCGTCGTGTTTGTCCCTTCCCTGCAACTGCTCCACTCACCTCTCCTTCATTCGACGAGCATGCAATATGCAATGCAATTTTTTCATGTTCGATAAAGACAATAGTTGGGAAGAAGGGAAAGGGTCGGAAAAAAAAGAATGGAAGGGCCATGGAAGGGCAGGTGGAAATTGTTCGTGGGCTGGGTGAGAAATTGGAAAATTGAAAATTATGTGTATCACTTGAAAAATGGCTAATAAACGAGATTAAAATTGCCAGAGGCGTGATTTTCAGCTGTAAACTGAGAACTTGCAAAGGCAGATGAGAAAAAGAGTAAAACGAGGGGGGAATGGAAGAGGATTGGGTTGCTAGGAAACCTGTCAAATTGCTTTAGGTGAGAATGAGTAACCAGATAAATGGTGAGCAAAAATGTTCAAATATAGAATGTATTGCTAAAAAGTGTATTGAGAAGAACTGAATTGATTCATGTGATCTATCAAAACAGAACCACATTCGAAGAAAAGCGACGATTTTTTAAATTGATCGCAAATATTTTGAAATTATTTAAAACAGAAATGAAAGGCTTTAACTAATAAACTAAAATAGGTCAGTTTTATTTTTTAAGTATCGTAAAAACTACTTTACTGTTGTGAAAAGTTAAAGAGTTGAACTTTTTTATAGCCGTAAACCACACTTAATTTCCATTCCTTTTCTCGTTTTCTCCATGCAAACTGCTCAAATCAATACCCATACGCACCGTTGTACGGCTGCTGCAGCTCTTAAAGCGAGTGTCGCTCGCTTTCGGTTGGCAAACATTTGCATAATTTGGAAATGCTCACTTAGATTTTGATGCCAGTTGCTCTCCCGAACATTTGCTCTGAACGGAAAGAAGAACTATTATGCAAATTCGGCTTAAGCGTTGAACAAAAAATATCCCCATGCCATTTCGGTGACTTGTAGTCAACTGCAGGCGTTTCTCATTCCCATTCCCGTTCCCGTTCCCATTTCCGACTAAAGGTGTTGCCAAGGAGCTGGCTGTAAATAGTATGCTCCTCCACTGGATGGCTGCCCCCTGAATTCTCTGGCCTCTCCTCCAACTGGCAGTTTGTCTGTTTGTTGGTTTTATGTGGCTTAAATCGTTGCCGTTTCTCCACTTGCTTCCAGCTGCCTTTTTATCCCTGTTTGCCGATGTTGTTCCTGTTGCTGTCCTGTGGCTCCTGTCGTTAGGCTACTTAGTTCTTAGTTGCAGTCGTCGTAGCCGCACTTTTGGTTCGTTTAATTTTTATGGCTTTGTAATTAAAAAAATTATGGCCAAGTGGCGGGCGGAGGAAACCAAAAAGGGAACTAGTTTCCCAGCAGCCACCTGCTTAAGTTCCCTTTGAGCGGTTTCCACGGCCGGTCTTCTTGTGTGGTCTCTAATTGAAAGCAGAATGCACGTGTTGCTCTTGAGGTCTTCAACCTTTTGGGTGTCTAGCTTGTGGAGGGCCTACATAAGCACAGATGGGATTTATGCGGGTCATAATGAAGTCCTAAATAAGTGTTCTCACTCTTACATCTAGCCAGTTTCTGCTCTTCATTTTGGCAGAGCTCGCCTTCTTCCAACTCGTTTATTTTCGTCTCCGTCCGCACCTTGGTCTTAATCCTGGTGGCTTATCATACTTAAGGCCAGGAGTTGCTTTCTCGCTTAGGCAGATTGATGTCAACAGCCGGAGCGACATTTTTGGGCTGACTTAGGGCCAAGTGGTGACCAACAAGTGGACAGAAAGAAGATCGCTGGAGGAAAGTAAAGGAAAGCCGCACAGTGGGCCCTCGCTAATGCCTTCCGTGAGCTGCTGACAGGTATGGAGACACTGGAGTGCGACGGAGAAGCGGTAATCCTTTCACCTGCACAATCTGAATCTGTCACTTGCGACTGTTTCGTGTTGAAAGTGTGGGACCCAGCAGCAAAATAGTCAGCATACGCCATGTGGTGCGGAAAACAATAAATGCGCCAAAGGCTATAGAGTTCCCCAAGGGTTGCGTTTAGGAAAAACAATTCTGTCAAGTCTCTTTTTTACACTTGATGAAAACTTAGGCAGATATAAAGCGAAGGGAAAACTTATCACAGAGGGTTTAGATACACGAAGGAGGTATAAAAACAAGAAGTTTAAGCAGCACTTTGTATTATGAAATGAGCGGCAACAAACTTAATTCAAACAAGATATTTATTATATAGCTGCGTGTTTAAAGAGTTTATCGTCTGATAACCTAAGGAATCCAGCTGAATCCTGAATTTAGATTTCTTTTTCAAACAAATTACAAATATAATTATATCTCCCATAATTAAGTTAATTTAAAGTAATAACATTCATTTTATTACAAAAAGGCCTGACAACTCTAAAAAACTTCACAAAATAAGCAAAATGATACTTTTTAATTGATCAAAGCCCATTAACTTGATTATTATATTTATATATTTCGATCCTTTAATTAAGAGGATTTTTTCAACCGTATCGATTTTAATTTCATCGTTCTAAATTGGAAAATTAATAATATTAAACGAATTTGTTCACGGTGAGAAACCTTTTGTATCTGCCTTATAAGAAAATTATTTATAGGCACCCTATTAAACATATTACAATTGTATTTCATGAAAATATTTAATTAAAGGTGATCTTATTTTTACTTAGCTGCGGAAGCAGCTTGATTCATTCTGGGATCTCTTATCATTTTACAATTATCAGCACAGAACATTCGCACGTTTAAGTCATTTTTGTTGATCTGTTTTTTGCCAAGATTATTCTCTCGCGAGATGTTGTTATATATTTCATTTCACTATCTGCTTGAATGCAATGAATGATTTAAACTACTCCAGTCACAAAGTATATCACAAAATCTTTTTAAAAATGGCTGAGTTATATTTTATAATATACTTATATATGCCAACTAATAGTTTCGCAGCACAAGATTTCGCAAGACGACTAAGAAAGTCAGTGCGGAATCCAGAGATTTCTGTGGGCTCTTTCCCCGTCAGTTGCTTATCACTTCACACACTTTATTTATAAAACCCGACATTGATTAAATGACTGCGACTATTCCCTCTTGTTTTGTATTGAACTCTTGACCCAAACTTATCTGGGTCCGAGACTGATTCCGATTTCAACACGTATTTAACACGTATGCGATGTTAGCGAACGATTTCAACGCACGAGTTTTTACAGTTTGAGGTTATTTTCGGAAACTTTCCAGACTTTTTGTTCACATTTTCCGCTACATTTGGGTTCGGCAACGTAAGCGCATTTTCCCCCATTTAAATTTGCCGCATTTCACTGCACTTTGGTAGTGAAAAAACAACAGCACGTATTAATGAGTTGCAGGCTCACTTCCGGTACGTTAGGCACAAACTTGCACAGGCAGGGCCAACTAACTAACTCACACACACGCAGAAACCCGAAAATATATTGCGACGGCGCAACAGGATGGCGTACCAGTGGCAGCCAAGTCAGAAAACAGTGAATTTATCCTTACTTCCGGTTCGAACGCGCCTCCAAACCCTCAACAGGCTTGTGCTCTCTCCGTCGCTTTCGATTTCGTTTCCGGTTCCGGTTCCCTTCTCGAGCCCGTCACTCCACTTGAGTTCTGAGGAAGCGTCCGTTGCCCACGAAGCGGCAAACACGAATGAGGCACTGGATTCTGGTGATGCTGATTCTGCTGCTACTGCTGCCGCTGATGCCACCGCTCGGTTGCCGCTCGTTCATTCGCAGGCTCTCGGGCAGAGCCGACAACCCACACAGCGACTGGGACACACACCCTGTAAGCCTGCTATGCACTCAGAAAAAATGTATGTTTTGGTCAAATATGCAAACGTTACCCTGAATACAAAATTATAGGACATAAGTTCTTAAAAATATTGCCTACTTGTCGGCTGCCTAGAGCAAAAAAAGTAATAATAACAATAAGCTAATAAAGTTTGTGTTTGAACTTTTCAAAAAAAATTAGAGGAAAACTAAAAAATGCTAAATTTGAAAAGGAAAACCAATTTAATACTGTTTAATTTAAACTTTCTAAATGGGAACAAATTTTTTTGCTCAGATACTACAACTTTGTTCAAAGGATACAAAAAAAAATAAAAAAAACAATTTAATCAAATAATTTCATAAATTTGAATTTGGTTCCGAGAAAAATAAAAATAATACTTTTTTTTGGCATATAGATTAATGTGTATTAAACTTAAACCTTTATTTAAAAAATTGAAAATATTTACAGTTTCAAATCTGTTAAAAACAAAAGTATAACTTAACAGGCAAATTAAAATGCACTTAAATTGCTTAATATTAAAGATATATATTCAATTTCAAGAAGACAACAATGTTGACATATTGCCATTTCAATAGATACAAACCAAATAAATCTTTATCACACAAGTTTTTTAAAATAAAATTGCAGTGCATTTACTTTTTCAGAGTGTGCGATGTCAGGCCTTCTAACAGATAACGATTGAAGCGCACTGAGTCTTTTTTCGTTGAACATCTTCTCGGTTTTCAAAATGCGTGGTGAATGAATGGCAGTGGGAGTATATGCACGCCGGGGCATGAATGAAATAGTCCCGCGTATATCACACCCATGCCAACACAATCAGAGTCACCGCTGCAGTCCATTCCTAATGGCCTTCGGCTCGTGTTATCGGAGCAGGAGTGGTCAAAAAGGCTCCCGCTGGCTTGTCTCCCACATAAATGCCTTTGGTCATGCCATATTTCAAAGGATTTGCAGACATTGTGGTGGTCTCTGTGTTCTGCTGAAACCCCCCAGGCTTGTTTTTGTGTTTTGATAAAGTTAATATTATAGAATCGTGCAATTGATCCGAGGGTATATTTAATTCGTTCTAGGCTTCCACTGAATTCCTCTTTTTGTTTTGAAAATATTTCGATTTTATACCGCTGTTGATGCTGCTCCCGCTGATGTTTTGCTTATCAGTTTGGACTTCATATTATTTATATTATTTATTCCACTGACCCGTGTCTCTGCCACTGTCCTCCCGCTGTGCGGTGCGTATTTATTTTGTAGTAAAATCAACAGACAAACCATGAAGAGAGGCCAATCCATCGGAGGACCGTTGTCCCAGTTGCCTTCCATGCGATTGTCGTTGATTGATTGCAAGAGGAGCTGAGATAACAGGAGTGCGGCGCAGAGGCAGCGCTGATAAGTGGCGTTTGGGAAGTGTGCGATAAGCAGTCCGGCAAAAGGTTATAGACTGCTAGCAGAAGATCGTGTGCTATCAATTCCGCGATCCAAATGGTTAAGTTTAACTATTTTAAAGGGAGGGTAGGGTTTTAAAAACGAAAAACGTTTATTTTTATAATTTTTTGCGGCGACACCTATAATATTATTTCTTTTTAATTTAATTACATATTATTATACCACTTTTTTAAGATTGTAAGACAAAATTAAATTAAAAAAAAATAACGACCGTGCATCTTCGGAGGCGCCTTTAAAAAAGGTTGATTTACGGTGAACACCATAACTCGTGGCCGGACTTAAAAAAAAAAAAAATGTATGCATTTTAAAGCTGATGAATTTTGCAAGGTAATCACGAAGACTTTTTTTTCTATTTTTTTGAACGTTTTGAAGTGAGCAACGCGATATTAGCCTAAAAATCGCAGTAAATTCGATGTTAAAAAATAGAAAAAAAAAAAACAAAAACAAAAAAAACTTTTCGTGATCCTTTCAAAAGGATCGATTCAGTAGATTTTGAGTTCTGATGTTCACGAACTTCAAAAAAACGTGTTCGGGAAAATTAATCAAAAGTTTTTCATATTTGAACGATCTGGTAGCTCGGCCGGTCGTTTGAAACGCTGTAGCTCCGTTAGTTTTACTCGGATTGAATTGAAATTTGTACAGAATATTATCAACATATTGTTGACTTAGAAAAATAAAAAAAAATTAATTAAAAAATAATTATAAAAAATTAAACGTTTTTAAAAATGAAAATGGTAAATGCAAACAAAGTAAGAACTTTAAGCTCGGATATTGATGTTAATTTTTACAAATGGTAGAAGGTTGCAAACAAAAACTATGCAAAATAATGCAATGTTTTCTGCGATATTAAGTGCTTTAAATACTATAAAGTTCTCAACGTTCTGGTAATTAAATTTATCAATGTATTAATTAAATATTTCGCCAAATATTTGTTTATGGCCGTACTTAGCCGCACAGAAAAGTATTTGGCAGTTCCATGTGTTGCTTTCTTGTATTAATTTTCTATTTGCCATATTGCTATTTCTGCCTTCTTAAATTTCGAGATTTTTCAGTCGATTGTTCAATAACACAAACGCTTGTCATGCCAAAAATGGAAGTGAAAGCCCAGAGATGGAAATGTCGTTTTCGAGGAGGACAACTGACGGCAGACCCGAGGCAGCTGTTGTTTACTATTTGGGTACAATTTTGGGTCTCGGTCTCCAGGCTGTGGCGGTTGCTCCTTCTGTTCCTTCTGTTCCTACTGCCGTTGCGGTCCATGGGATGCTTGCTGGGCCAAAAAATATGCCTGGAATTTAATTTTCCAATGAAATATGGAAAATGTTATGAACATTCACCAATGTACAAGGCCGAAGGGAAGTTACGAAATATTAGGGGCAGAGGGGAATCAAAACAAAATTAATTCAAAATTGCTATCCCCCCAGAAGAAAAGAGATGTTGTCCAATTGCGGAACAATCCGAATCAAAATGTTCGTGTGCATTGGGTGGGAACCTCTTAAACCATTTATCGTTTATTTTCGTTCTTTTAAGGGATACTCCTACGTATGCAAATCAACTGAGACGAAGTGAAAAAGAAACTTGTGAAAAATATAAACTTGGAAACGAGAGGTGTCCGAATAGAATTGGCGTCTGTAAGAACTGTCTCTCCTGGGCATTTGTCTGCGTGTCAATGAAATAAGTGCTCCGCCACTTGGCCGCAGTCTGCTGCACGTTTTATGCATATGAGTGGTAAATTCTGGAGAGCAAATCTTGCCAGTGTCTTTGGGCGTCTTCAGAAATGGCGAAAACTTCGCCCCTCTCGAACATTTTTGGGGGGCCAGATGGCCTGGAGTGCTTGCAAACTTGAATTTGGTTAGAGATTTTCTTTGGTACTCGGTGTGCTTTTCAATGTTTCGATTGCATGCCGAATGCATGAAAGATGACAGCATTTGCTGCACAATTTCCGAAACATTTAAAATTGGCCCAGCAAAAACAAATCGAAATCTAAGGTTACAGTTCACAATTAAAAATTCATTTGTCCTTTGCAAGGCCATAAGGGAAAACCATAGCTAATATAATCCCCATGTCGTTAAATGCTTGATCTGGCCAATTTCAATGGAAACAAAAGTTCTTCTCATTTTTCAACTAATTTCGAAACAATTTTCCCATCATTTTTGGCATTTTCCATTTGTGGCTTGCAGCTTGGCCATAATTAAAAGCTACCCGCTGAGAAGGGGCGAAAAACTATTTATCTAGCCAACACAAGTTCCAGCACAAGCAAAAAGACTAAAAGCAACACCAGCAGCACAACTCCAAGGCAGTTCGTCGTCGTCTGCTGTCATAATAAAACAGAAACACACAAAAACAACCGCCACTGACAAAAAATTACAAACAATTTAAGCAACTGTGAAAAAAGGAGATTAAAACGAAAAAATTCCGGAAGAAAAAATTTAAAATCTAGTTTTTGAAGCAGAGACTACCAAATGCGCTGCAAATAGTTTTGGATTAATGGTTTTTTATGTCAAAATCGTTAAATATTACTTAAAAGTTATGAACTTACATTGCTTGCATTTAAAGCTAAAGCCAAAAATTAAAAAAGCTTGATTCAATCTCTGAGTTTAATTAAGTATATATTGCATTTTACCAATTCAATTTAATACCCTAAAACATAAGTGGCACCCACTTAAGTGGCACACACAATTAAAAAGGTAATAAATATATCAAATGGTTTAATACTGCCATATTCACTTTAAATTGTTTTATTAATTTAGTATATATTGCATGTTAACAATTCAATTTAATACCCTGAGACTTGAGTGTCACACAATCGATTCAGGAAAGCAATTGTTACCACTATTTAAAGTCTATTAAATTGTATGGCAAACAAGTATATAATAAAAATGTACTAAAAATTGCTAATAGTTTATTACTCCCGCAAGCACTTTACATTGTTTTAAAAATATTTAAAATCTTTCCCGACCTTCTTTGAACTTTTGGATTAAATTAGCGAACATAAATTCATTACATATTTTAAAATATTATGACTTGCGATGCAAGCTTTATTAGACTTACGATCTAAGATGTAGGCTTAAGACAACTTAAACTTAAGACTGAAAAATCCACAAAGCCAATGCATACCCTCACAGAGAGTATAAAAATAAAGCCACTAAATAAATAACATGGCCATAAACGCATAAGGGGAAGCCTGGGGACCGAGAAGTCGGAGGAATGTTGAAAAAATGCTGTTCAAAAAGTTGTGAAAAATTGCAGCACTTGCAATGAGAGAAAGTTTTAAGCGCTAGGAAAAGTATTTGGCTCGGAGAAGCAAAGGGGGGGGTGGCTAAATAATAGAGTAACGAAAAAATAATAAACTCATAAATAGCATGACAAGTGTGTGGATGCGAGTGCAAAGCTGTGGACCAAAGGACTGGGACAAATTGGACCGCCAGCAGTGGAA